AAGTTTTGAAAGCACTTAAATCACTGTTTGAACACCACAAAGCATTGGATGAAAAGTGAGTCACTTTTACTTTATTATTTTTCAAATTATTTGGAAGGGAAATTATTCAAAGTGCCATCCAAAAGAAATCAAAAAAAATAGGAGATCGGAAGTTAGTTCTTCTACAAGTTGGTATTAATAGCTGAATTATGTTCCCAGTCAGTTTTTTTTTTGCTGATTTTAGGTCCGTGAACGTTTGCGTGTTGCGATGGAGCGTGTTGCAACATTAGAAGATGAACTATCGACAAAAGGAGATGAAAATTCGTCTCTAAAAGCGAAATTAGCGAAGCTACTAGCTGAGGTCGAAGAAGCACATCAGCAAGTTTGTTATTCAATTTTTTCAGAAACAGACTGCTCATCTGAGACTGTTTATATTAAACATATATTTAAATTCTCAGAATTGCGCCCTTTGTTTTTTCGAAAATAGACGTTGGCGTTCAGAAGCATTCTCAAACGTTTAAATCATGAGGTCCTTTTAAGTTCTATATATAATCTCATTATGAATTTTTACTTCTTTTTGACAAAGAAAATTAACGGAAACTCCATCCTAATATCAGTTTTTTGAATGAATATTGCTTATAGCTAAATGCGTCTCAAAATGGAATAACAGCGGAAAAACAGCAGCAGCAAATTGTGAGTCTTTTGATTATTCGAATGAGTAATTAAGAAGTAATTTTGAACTTTACATAGCATTTTTCAAAATCCGAGAAGTAATAAAAGTGACCATCGTTCGTTTTTATTGATTGATATTTACAACTTCTGGCTGCTTCATATGCATTCAGTGAAGTAGGCTTTTATTTTTTAGGGGTCAGTTGAATCTGCAGGAGCTTTGGTTGAATTACAAGAAACGTGCCAACGGTTGAAACAAGAACTGGCGAACAGTATGCAGCAATGTCAGGAACTAAATAATCGGTATCGCAACCTTATCTACGTGTTTACTTCTATTTTCCTACTTTGAATCCATGGAAAAAGTTAATGTTTTGTCGATCAACTTTCCCATAATTATATCGTTGATGCAACGGTTGCTTGAATAGGTAGTTCAAACCATAGTAGGAAAGGGTTTAGTAATGTGTGTAAGTGCAGGAACACAGAATTAGAAGTTCAACTCACTGCAACGCAGAAAGAAGGCCGAATGGAGCAGGAGCAAATCAACAAGCTACAGCATCATCTTCAGGAGGTAGGCGTGTGTTTGTTCACTGCTTTTATTCATTTATTGGCAAGTAATTAATTCACTTGTAATAATTCACATTATTCGAAGAAAAATCTTTTAAGTAAGATGCAGTATTCTTTCGTTATGATCTGTTACAGTTGCAAGCGCAGCGTGAAGATCAAGAGACACGGATTTCAACTCTGGAAAGTCGTTACATGAGTGCACAGCGGGAAGCCACATGTTTACGTGATTTGAACGATAAATTGGAGCATCGGGTCAGTAAGTGGTAACCTGATTTTTACCTACTATTTCTTATCCCATATTAGCTGAAAGTTTAGTAGGAACCATATCTCCCAGTCGTATGTCTTTCAGTTTAAGCTCGATCAGGTCTGCCATTTGGCATCAGTTGTGAGTGAATCAGTATGAGCAAATATTACTGCTAATCAATTTCTTGAATTAGAATTGCTGCGCTTAAAAGTTCGAAAACGGATACATGGTTTAGGATTTTTGATTTGTATCATTTAGTTGCTTCAATATGTTATTTCAGCTTGCAAATAAAGATGCTGCAGTTCGACTGAACGAAGAGAAAGTACGTAGTTTACAAGAACGCCTTGAATTGGCCGAAAAGCAGTTGGCTCAAAGTTTGAAAAAAGCAGAATCACTACCAAGCGTAGAAGCAGAATTGCAACAACGTATGGAAGCTCTTACTGCAGCGGAACAAGTGCATATTGGCTCATATTCAAAAAAATAGATCAAATATTCTAATATCTACTAGATAATTTATGAAAAACTATTTCTGCGAACTTGCAAGTATTTGGCAGGGTTTTTGCTTCTGTTCTTTATGTCAGAAGTGACATGGCGTTTATGTATCAAGGGATAGTGAAATCAAGTGCATCTTTGAGTGGAGTTTATAATTCTTCTTGTGTATTGTACTTTTTATTACTGTTGAATTGCTTTCGTCAGAAGCAACTTAGTGCCGAGGAACAAATGAATCGCTTGGCTCGACAAGTTGAGGAGCGCAGCGCAGAATTGGAGCGTGCTGTGCAACGGGAGAAAATGAATGAAGAACATAACCAACGTTTATCATCCACCGTTGACAAACTGTTGAGTGAATCAAACGACAGGTGAGGGTTTATTCGTTATTTTTTGATCAGTTATGATAAACGATCCTGCGTATGCATGAATTTGAGGCACAAAAATAACCATAAAAGAGAAGTAGCAAGTCTTTAATTCACATAATTTTATTGTATGTAAAATGATTTCCTCTTTTTGCTGAATATTTGATTGCAGACTGACGATGCAGTGTTAAAGTTGTGGACATCCACGTTGAGCTTTTTGACTTGAAATTTTCTTCGTTTCGGTCTTCTTGCAAATTCTGAGCTACTTTCTATTTAGAACAGAAGAATTACCGAGTACCTTAAGTAACAGAGGGATCTTGCAGGTTACAGTTACACTTGAAGGAGCGTATGCAAGCCCTTGACGAAAAGAATCGCTTAACACAACAGCTGGAACAAACAAAGAAAATCTATGACCAAGTAGATGCAGTATTTCTTCCTGTTTCACTTCTTGGTGACCTTTGTGAAAATGCGAAAATATTTATGCTCCTTTGCCATTTTTGTATGAATTTTCAGCTGGTTAACTCCATTTAATATTTTGTAAATTTCAAGTCTTACCGAAGACTTCGAATTCAGCTACTGTTGTATAACGACAGAGATTGTAATGGCAAAGTCTGAAGTGGCAGCGCGAAGATGAATAGTGCTTTCTAGAGTTCATTTGATTTGCTCTTTACCCTTGAAAAGGATGGTTATCATCTATTCCCTTGCAGTTCTTAATTTCGTTTTTCTTTCAGTGTGAGCGAACGAAAGAACGTCTACAACGTGATAACGAAAGTTTGCGGCAGGAAATCGAAGCACTACGTAATCAACTTTATAACGCTCGTACTGCCCAATATCATTTCAGGTGAGGTAATATTAAGGTTATTGGATTTTAAATGCGCGCTCTTTTCGACACGCTCTTTCGACATAGTAGCAAGTGCTGATTCACACTTCAGTACATGGAGCGTTGTTTTTTATTCCGGAAAGTTATAGTGTATTTTCGAGGGCATGAAAAATTCAATCAGTTGACAAAAGAAAAAGTGGAACTATAATCATGCACTATGTTGTTGACTTATGCATCTAAACTAATTTATCTGTTCCTTTCGTTGTATAACTTTAACACAAGATGAAACGATACAGTATTTACTTGCTACACACTTTTCTTTTGTTTAAAAACTGCAGACTTGTAGAGCATATCCAATTCCAGTTTCAAGTATAATCGCGTTGTTGTTGTGTAGTTTAACATTCGCTTCACTTTCAGTCTTTTTGAACTAAAACGGTCAAAATTTGTAAAAGCCTCCATTCTCCTTGAATTTTGCTTTACTGTTAATTTGATGTCACCATGCCATACTGTTCTAGATATTTGAATTAAATATTAATGAAAATTGCAGGTTGCACAGTTCGCCTATGATATTGCCTGTAGCAGCGCCATCTGTATCTGTAGTACAATCGCCTTCAGGATCTGGGGGACCGCCCCCACCTCCTGTTGTGGTATCTTTGTTTGTATATTTTCCAGTGAACTCATGGTCCTTTCCAAAGTCTGACGTGTAATCCATAGTTTCCACTAAATCAAGGTGGAGTGGGATTTTATAATTCCTTTTGGTGTTATGTGGATTTTTTGTAGGCTGTTGCACCATCTACTGGTACAGCAGTTTATGGTGGAATGCGCCGCGCACAAAAAGGCAGACTGCAAGCATTACAAGAAGATCCAAGCAAAGTGCAAACATTGAATGAACAAGAGTGGGATCGACTGCAGCAAGCGCATGTGCTTGCTAATGTACAGCATGTAACAAGTTTGAACAAAATAACAACTCTGTTATAAAAATTTCCACAGTGTTTTAGGCAACACTCTTAGAGTCTTTTTTTTTTTAAATAATCATATAATGCGGAATATAAACAATTTCAAATCATTCTTGAAAATTTATTAAAAATCCGGAAGTCAATTTTTAGTTTTGTGAGTATTCTCAACCAAATCAAGGTTCTTAGGAATATTTAAACTTAATTGTTAAAAATTGAGAATCGAAATAAAATATGCAAAATCACTTTTCAGGCCTTTTCATCATCATCATCAATGATGGATATGACGGGGGGTGGTGGTGGGTCAGCTGCTTGTCCATCACTCCCAAACACTGCAACAGTGCCTGGTGCTGCAGATCCACATACTCTTGCTAATATGTTGCAAGAAAGGCTTGTTATTCTATGCTATATTTTTCATCACCCATATGGTGCTTCTAACTGCTTATTATCTGATTATGATGAGAGTATACTTATGATGATAAGTACTATACACAAAGTTATAAAGGTAATTTTGCAGATTGAATGCTATAAATTCAGAAATTCGATTAATAGAACAAGAGAAAACACATGCGGAACGTATCGCTGAACAGTTGGAAAGTCGTGCTACAGCAGTGGCTGCTGCAGCTGCTGCAGGTAATTTGCATTCGTCCTCATCAAATTGCGTAAATAGTCAAATCTATCATGATTCATGTTATATAGTTACAGTAAATGAAGAACCACAAGCATTGTCAGCACATTCGACACCACGCAATTCACCTCAGCAGGATTTTTTGGTTACCAAATATAATACGGTGTTCTTTTACTTCATCTCTTCTTTGATTACATCTTTATTTTTAATGTGTACGCTGCATTTTTCTTTCTTGACTTCACAATTTATTCGGATTTGAATCGGAGTGTATATTTTTACGCATTCCTTCTTTTTACTTTGCTTTTTCTTGTTGTTGTAGCTGCCCGCTAATGCGTCAACATCGCACATTCTTGGCGGTGGCGGCGGTGGACCAGTGGATTCTTCATACACTCATCAGGTAAACACACACTTTTTCTAAATTTATATGTTTTAGTGGTGGGGTTTTTTGTCAAATAGCAGATACTTGTGAAGGGATTGATTTCTCATTAAGTTTGCAATTGTATTTCTCAAATGAGCTCTAGTTTCCGACGAATCTGCAGTTTGGTGCAGTGGATGAAATGACAAATGGTGTGACAGCTTTTGATTATGGAATGCGTGGTAGAAGGTATCCAGGTGCAGCGGATCAAATGCAACATTCCTATACAGTATGCATCAGCTGTTTATTTTAATATCCTTTCGTTTATTCAATACAGTGAGATAAGATTTCACAGGTTAAATTTTAATTTTAAACCTAAGCAATTTTTTTCGCTGGTTATTCTATCCTTTTGGTTTTTACAGGGTTATCTTCTCGATGATGAATGTAGTCCCAGTTTGGGCCCAGCTCCTCCAGGAATATTAATGGACCGACTGTCGCCTACATCATCCATTACATCTTCACAACATGGCCACTCGCCCGTTTATGGAACACCGAGCACTGCAAAAGGTTTTTTTTTTTTGAACTTCCTTGATTCTAGTATTTTGAAGTTTTTATGATTCATTAGGCAACATTTTCTTTTCTGATCCTATAAGAAAACTTGTCGATGGTTGGTTAATAGAAGTTAAAACTATAGTGGCAAAGAAGCAACGTTCAACCTCTTCGACAGCAGCGAAGACCCTCGGGCGATTATTTAATAAGAAAGCGAAAAGTAGCAGTTGTGGTAGTAATTTACGTCAGTTGGCACAATATGAGCAAGGTATTTTGTCAATTTCGAGCTTAATTCAGAATAAACCATTGGGCTTCTTGGTTGTCGTAAACGGCCACATATTTCTCAACTACTCTTCATCCATTCTATGTTAACTTATTTGCATATTTGTTTACAGGCGGATATTCGGATAGTGAAATGTCATCAGTAGAGGGCATCGCTGTTACTGCGGGCGTAGCCACATCGTCTTCCCTATTAACGGGTAACAATTTCAGTACTTTTAATTTTCGGAAATAATTAGCTGAACGGCATTTGTTGAAATTTTCTCATGGTGTTTCAGCGGGCTTATCATCTTTACGCTTCACTTTGCCTTAGAATCTGAGAAATAATTGAGGTCCAGTATTTTTAACAGAATGCCTATCTACAAATTTTGTTTTTTAGTATAGTGAGACTGCATCTGTAAATAGTTGGTAGACTCGAGTTTCAAAACATATTCCTTAGTTCGCTTGAAAACGAGATATCGAACGTTCCATTCAAATAAGCTATAAATTGAATGCATTATTACATTACTCGTTTAATTAAAGTGGCTGCAGGTAAATCAGTGAACGGTGGAGTAATACTTGGTGCTGCCACAGCTGCTGATTTTGATAGAAGAAAAAAGAAGAAGTACGAATTGCTGGAGGAGGTATTGCTTTGTACTTATTATTGTTGGTGGAGCTATATGTTAATTTATATAAACTTTTCTAAGTTATATCTGAAATTTTTTCAATTATTTCTTGATATTATATCTATTGCAGGCGATGAAAGCACGTACTCCTTTTGCCCTGTGGAATGGACCAACTGTAGTAGCCTGGTTGGAATTATGGGTTGGCATGCCTGCTTGGTACGTTATTTTTTTCTGACTTCACAATTTAACTTACTGTCGTTTTTCCAAAGTAATAAAAAGTTTTACAGGTATGTGGCAGCATGTCGTGCGAATGTAAAAAGTGGTGCAATCATGAGTGCATTATCGGATCAAGAAATACAGCGTGAAATAGGCATCTCAAATCCATTGCATAGGCTGAAATTACGATTAGCTATACAGGTAGAAAATACTGTAGAATAAAATTGGTTATTTTCACGTAACGCAGTGGGGATGGACTTATGTAGTGCGTTATAGCAATTAACTTTGTTGCTTCTTGTTTTAACATTCATTCAACTTTTATATATTATAGGAAATGGTTTCTTTGACTTCTCCGTCGGCACCGCGTACAACACGCTTAACATTGGCATTTGGTGAAATGAATCACGAATGGATCGGTAATGAATGGCTGCCCTCATTAGGTGCAACTTGTACCTATTAGATTATGAATTTATTGTCTCTAAAGACTTGATTAAATCTTTTGCGAGATGGTGAGCACTAAACTTCAGAATACCAATAGTAGAAATAATCTTGGTTTCTTCCAGGTCTGGCGCAGTATCGGCCAGCATTTATGGAATGTTTATTGGATGCTCGGATGCTGGAGCATCTCTCCAAACGTGACCTTAGAACGCATCTCAAAATGCTCGATAGTTTCCATCGGTAGCTTTAATTCTTTGTATGATTTGCAGGATTTCATGTCTTAATATGAGCTAGACAGTTATTTATGTTTTGTTGCAGTACCAGTTTGCAGTATGGTATAATTTGTTTGAAGAAGCTGAATTATGATAAAAAGGCATTAATAGAAAGGCGAAAAGCTTGTGAAAACATCAGTAGAGGTTAGTCGTTTCAATTACCTTTGCTTCATAGTATTAAAATAATGTTTAAATTTATGGGATAGCAGCTCGCGCCATAGCCAGCTCGCGCCATAACTAGGAGGTATGACTTAACACGATATATCATTCACAATGATCAGCTGAAAGTCTTTTCTGGCTACAATTATAGTACATATGGTCATATTAGACTGAAATGGTCTGAATGAGGAAACGGATTCAATTGGTTTAAAGGATTCAATTGGTCTGAATGAGGAACGCAGCATTTTCTGAAACTTGAAATTGAATTGAAATTTAAAATTTTAAAATGGACGAAATTTCATAGTGACATACTATAGATGTACTAGTATGGAGTAATGATCGCGTGGCACGTTGGGTTGAAGAAATAGGTCTTGGGGCATATGCGGCCCAACTGAAGGATAGTGGCGTACACGGTGCCCTGATTGCACTCGATCACACATTTGATGCGCAGAGCCTCGCCTTATCTCTGCAAATACCACCACAGGTTAGTGCGTTACATCTCTGTGCTATCTTTTTGCTGCTACTTCAGTTGCCTTAAAACCAAATATCTCACTAAGTCTAATTCAATTGATATATTTATAGGATTTTTCTGCTCGCCAGTTGTTGGAACATGCATTTGAACAATTGATAATAGTTGGTGACTGTCGAAGTAGTACGACAACATTTGGTACTAGTGGTGCGGATTGTCGTGGTTCTACTGCAACAGCTAATGCAGCAGCAAGTGTGGCGTCTACAAATATAGTAACAGGAACAGGAAATTACTCATCGGTACCCCCGCCATCACCTCCCAGTTAACTGTGGTTTTGTATTTCGATGTCACTGAATGATTAATTAGCATGCACAGTCTGTGGTAACAGCACAGAAACTTGGTTGATCAGTCCCGACTCTGCTGTATACTTGCCGGTTTGCCATATCCAAAGTTAGTGTAAGCTAATTTGGGTTTCGCCGTACGCTCAAGATCTAGAGGCCTTACACGGAGCAAGAAAAAAGTTATTTTGCCCATTTCTTAAGAGAATTTACTGACTGGAACCGGTACATTTTCTCCTTAACCTTGTATGTTTCTTAAACCGGCTATTTTTCTTTGTTTCTAGGAAAATACGTTCTAGAACGGTGTTTTATTTCTAATGATGTTTTAATTCTTGCATCTGGTGATTTCCGATGGACAAGTAATAAGAACAAAAGACTGAATGAAAATTTAAGATTTTTAATAAAAATGGTATTTTGGCACATACGGCGTTGTGCTGCCGTCCTGTATCCTGTCATTCGCTTATTATAAGCTGTGGACGATCTCCATCTTTAATCTTGATGCATTACGTTGTGTCATACAAGATTATAAGGAAAATTAAAATATGGAGTTGAAGTTGCCTTTTTTGTCTCCTTTTCACTACTTTGCAGGGACGTTCCTTTATTAAATGTACTTTAAATTTAATCGTAAATAGTGATAATGTTGCCGATGTTAAATGGATGAGAAAATTCCGAACAGTTGCCTCCAGGCATGCCTTTATCGGTGGATTGTATTTGGATCATTAATATGGCTTCATTCTGTAAGGCCTTCATCATTTGCTATTTTTTCCTTGTAAGACTTTCGTCTTTGTTGTTCTTAATGATGTTGTAATCTTGCTTGGAAATTGGCTGAAACAATTCTATTCCAGTGATTCTTCTTGAGATCTTTTTTATGTACTTTTCGCTCTTTTTTAGTCTTGTTACCATGCCTATCACCTTGTTCGTTATTAAATTATACAAATTCTAAAACAGTTGCAGAATTTCAATCGCGAACGATAGGAAGTACTTTTGATTATGAAATTTTTATATAGTAATCAAAATCAAAATTCGACGGCTTCTAAAACGTACTGTGTCCTTTGTACACTTATTTGCTAAGGTTTATTGGTGTCAACGATACTAATTAATAGTTTCATTACCTTGTTTTTCCATCAGTCTTGCTGTCTTCATTCCGCCGTTACTTTTTTATCCAACTTGCATTCATCTTGCCAACCTTAATTCTGAATTTAGGACGTAATTAGTAGTAAGGTTCTAAGACTTCCAACTGAAGGAGGGAAGCTTTGTAGGTGATGTGTACAGGATTTCTTGTTACTGACTCACCCATGATTAACTATCGACACTGGGAAGTTTTCTCTGTGGGTCTTATAGCTGATGCTAAGATTGCTACTGTATGTAGGACACAACGCGCATGTTTTCCACCGCGGGAAATAGAACGTAAATATCTTCCGGACACCGGATGATTTCCTGAATTACTGCGCCAATTTTTCAGCATTTCCTCCTTATCATGTATAAGATATCGTTGTGGGGAGTTTTTCGCATACATTTCTTTTTTTTTTTGCAGAAGCATGCATTTAGCAGAATTAACAGAAATGCAAAAGATGTACAAAGTTCTTTCGGCAAATTAGTAGATGTCCAGTGACGTAATCAACTACAGCTGTACGCCATAGAAGGTTATTCATTTCCCTCCCCCACTCCCTGACACTAATCCGTTTTGTGATCTCCTGATATTCTGCAAACTGCTGTGTAGGATCTTCATCTCTTCATATCAGATGGAAGCATGAAATTTCGAACTCCCTCGGTTTTATTGGGACTTCCTCGCTGTCAATTACAATGAATTGCTTCCCTGGAGACAAATAGCAATATAATATTTTATACAACCTCATATCGCTTAATAAGTGGCTGTGTTAAACGGCCGTTATTGTGAGCTCAATTCGAGAGGGCTATATAGCTGCGACTGTGCAACCAGAAGCTCAATACTCAATAGTCCCAATATTCACAATAAAAATTTGCATGAACATATAACATGGCGCGAAAGGTGCAGGAGTAGGCATTTACCAATGAACATAAAAATATGCTGAGAGTGGTGAGTGGATGCAGGAACTTCCAGCACTACGCCTCAAATAAGTTGTACTGCAAATAATAAATGCACCTCAAATAAAAATACCAGCATGGATATCGTCACGAAGCACTAAAATCCAAACCATGGCGAGTTTCTCGTATAGCCCATAATTTAAGGGGCAGGTTCTGCTCTATCCGTACCAATCCATTATTTAAAAAATAAGCAGCTAGAAGCATTTCACTCACAAGTATGTACAGAACGGCTTGCGGCAGAAAATCCGACTACTTGCAACAGTTAAGCCATCAAATTAACAAAGTTCGGTAACGCGATCAATGCGAAAGAATCAGTAGTAATTCGTGAACTCGCTTTACTTCCATTTCTCCATCTCTTCCCTACAAAAAACTCTTGTCTCAAAAGCCCTCAGAAATTTTTTACGAATCAAAGCTTTCTTCCCTTACTGGTCCTTAATACCGATGTTTATCTAGGAAACTCACCTGTGGCTGCCTGGTTTCATTTGATTCCTCACGCCACCCAGAATATTAACCGTAGCCTTACTTACGGCAATTATAGGCCGTAATACTGTAGTTGGAGCTTGTCGAAGAAAGCCGCGTACAGTCGAATAACCACTTGCTTGATCTTGTAGTGCAGCTAATTGGAAATCTAACGCTGTATCACTTATTTCCTAAAATTATCCGTGTCAAGAAAGACAATTAAGTACCCAATATCTTAGAAATATTATTTCTGCATAATTTCCTTACCCGCCCAATGGCTTCCAAAGCCATATTAAAGCCCTCTCTGATATCATTTGGCGGTCGAAGTACCGTATAATCTATCATATTTCTTCGATGTCGATATATTGGGTATTCGGGTGAAACAATATCAAATGCCAATTCCGCTACGCTCTGCAACATTTCATCAAATTTTCGTGTTTGGTATAAATCACGTTTTTGTAAAGAACGAATAGAAACACAAAAATCCGAACCTGCACAATTCCGACCATTCTTTGCAGCATATCTACTGCAGCCGTTGCGGTGGATATCCCAAAACTTTCCGCCCCTCTTTGTAATCCTTTTACGATATGACCTTCTTCCCTACAATACTCGTTTACTGGCATCAAAAACAGATCTCGAATCCCAAAGCCTGAAATTGCTAGGGCCTACAACCGACTGCACAATAAAAATTATTGAAAAACAATGTACCATAGCGTTCTGAAGTCTGGTAACGTCTTTTTTTTTTTTTTTTTGCTTGAAAAAAACATGACGTTCAAGTATAACGTATCGAAATTCGCTCACCAATTTCTACCAATGACTTGATAGGTCCATATGACGTAATAAACTGTACTAATTGTTTGTTGTTAATATCGTTAAGCCAGGCATTAATAGCAAACTAAAATTTTCAGACAGGTACAGATGACATACAAACACCAATTTAAGCCTCCTGAGGATATTTATAATCTAAAAGCACTAAAAAGTTTCAATTATGCATTAAAAAGAACCAACTGACTTACTTTAACACATCGATCATAACCAAGTAGCCCTCGAGTACAGTTGAGTTCCTTCAAACGTATTTCAGTGCATTTGAAATCGCTCAACCCTACCAAAAGTCCTAAAATCCAACCTTGATCTGGACGCACCCGCTTTCCATTTAAATCCAAACGAATCACAGCAGATGGCGAAAACGTAAATTCCCTATAATAACTAAGGGATATAGTTACCATCAAGAAAATATTACGTGAAATATAGAGCCAGTGATCCGTTAAACCGTTAACTTAGAAATAACATACATAGAACGGTCATTACTTACTTAAAGTAGATTTTCCCTTTAACGATCGATTCTGCTTCCAAGGAATTTATTTCCAAAGAGCTTTTCCCATGATAATCGGTCTGAAACAGCATAAATGATTTCAGAAGAGTTGTGGACCGTCCCTAAATTTCACATCGTACAGAAGCAAACTGCAATTATAAAGAATAATTTGAATGGAATCTTGATATCTCTCCAAAAAAAAGTGCAGTGGAAGATGTTCATATGGGCTTTAAAAAGTCATTATTTTTCGAAATCTGGATAGTTGAAAAAAAAAAATGCATATAACAATAAAAATAAATATGCCAACGACAAATACCAGTACAGAAACAGATTTTTCGTCGTCGTTTTTTTCTTTCGTTATATCAAGTTTTAATTTTACACTTTTTGCTTCTTTACATGCGATAGGCGAAACAGCACGAATATTGCTATCAGTCTTTTCTGTAGTTAAACACTGAATCACAGCATTCGATGACGAGTGAGGAGGAGGACTCATATGATCCATTAAATTTGTGACGGTATTGGTTACGGGTCCTAAAATTGCCAGCAGAGGGGAATTAATGGGAGTAAGATGCAGCACTGATCTATGGAATATAGTATTAAGTCATAAGAACTAGTTGAATTCAAATTACCACTTTCGTCAAACAAATCACTTGCTGAATCTGGTCGTCCATCGACCATTAAATTATCACTAATACCTTCATCAAGATGGAAATCATCATCTGAAACTGTTTTTTAAAACATTCAATTACATCTGCATCATTCACTATGATTCGAAGCGTTATTACCTAGTCCAGTGCAAATAATGTAAAATACTGACGAATATGCAAATTAAGTAGATCATAAGCGAATAGTGAGTTTCGCCGTTCTTCATCATTGCAAGATGAATCATTTTGCATAGTCATCTCCATACAATTTGTTACTGCGCCTGAATATGTATCGCCAGCGCACTGCATACTATCGGTATTTCCATCCAGACGTACTTCTAACCATGGCTTTGATGGCATTTTCGATGTTGCGGTATCTTCTACATTAAAAAATTACTCTGACTCTTGCAAACAATTATTCCATAAACTACTCCAAGTTATCAAAATACTGGGAAGGACCAAACCTGCTTGTAAGACACCAACACTACCAGAGAGATCATTTATATAATCTTCGAGAAACTCCAGAGTATCCTGGTCAGCATTGATGCGCAAAGGCAACAAGGAAACTTTCATTTTACCCTCATGTTGAGGAGTTTCATATAAACGAACTGAAAACATCGGCGATTGCGAATGACGTGGAAACGTCTGATCCCACACATGCTACAAATAAATGGATTATGTAGTAAAACTTTAACGAAAACAAATAAAAATGAAGCATGAGTGTGTTTAGTTTCAGTGTAGTCCTCCCTGAAAATCGGTTGGTCCTTGAAGCTTACCGGGTAAAGCAGCTTATTAATTTTTGAAGACACCATTTTATCCAAAATTTCAATTGAACCGATACTGAACAGTCTTGTAGATAACGCCGGCGCATCTTTATCGTATATTTCGAACACAAATTTAACCTAATATATAAGTTGTAATCATTCAAAAGATAGAATTTGATAGGTAATAAGATTAGTCAATCACATTTACGTACGACTGAAATAAATTGCAATAGTTCCAATTCAAAAAATTATGATTCTTTGCCAGTTCGGGCCAGAAAATCGTTTAAGGTAACAACACGAACCGACTAATAAAACTTGCTTTGAAAAAACGCAAATCAACATGAACAGAATAATCTCTGTAATGACCACCAACGGGAGAGTTATCACGACGTAGCTTTCCTCCACTTGATATACAGTAAGGTTTGGAAGATGGTTTTGATGTGCCTGAAATGGCAAAAAACAATAGCTGCAATTGCCAGAAACTATATAGCTCTAAAAAAAAGTGCTAAATCACCGAATCCTTATGGTCTTTTCGGAATTATTATCATTAAAAACTTACTGAAGTCAGCACCACCGTATAAATGAAGTTCTAGCGACACATCATCAATACAGTATTTGATACACGGAGTATAAATTTTGTTCATAGCAAAAAGAACCGATCTGTTCGGCCTACCATCGATTTTTGTCAAGTAATCATCGTATGTAACAGGAGCTGTGTCATCGGCGAATAGAAACCGTGCCCATGGCTTGCCGTTACCAGCCTAAAGTTTTATGTGACTAGAACTAGAGAGAAATATGACTAGCGAGAAGAAATACTCAATTCCAAAAACAAGAAAAGCATTTACTAGATTTCAAAAAGTTGAAAAACACAAGGAAAGAAGTATACCGTGATTCCACTCCCGGGAATTTCATCAAGCAGACAAAAGCCCTCGTCAATTCCGAGCACTCCGGATGAATCTCTAGGCTTGCTTTCCTCTGTTGTATTAAATAAATCTGCAGCATATCAATTTGTGAGTAGTAAACAAAGATTCAGCGAATGTTTTAGAGATTAAGAAATTAATTTGGTAGAGAAACAACATGTACTAATTTTAAAAATAATTTAAAAATAATTATTAGATAAAACTTACCTATCACTGCATTTGATAGTACTTGAGAAGTGTGTGACAAATTCTCAGGTGAATCTATCGGGTACTCAAAAATTTCATGTCTGGATTGCAATACTGCTGATCGAACCATTTTCTGAATTTCAAAGTACATTAAATAATTATGATGAAAATGAACAATCATTTATAAGAGAGTGAATTTGCAGTGCCTCACTAACTCTTAAAACCTTTAATTTTGGATTTTGACCATAGAGTTCCTGGAAGAATCTTCAGTTACTAAAATTCACATCTTTGTTATCCTTTTCTTTTTTTTTTTTGTTACCTTATTGATTCCTCTTCGCTTATCTGTTTCTTACGACTGCATTAGCACTTTTAAAAACTTCCGTACAAAATTTTGGTAAGTCATACAAATGGTACACCTAACTGTAAATAATAATCATCTTCCCAGAACCTAATTTCCCGTAGAATAACTGGAAGTTAGACTTTGTATTGGTAGTTTCAGGTGAACCGTGCGTGGAGATGATATTGATGCCATGTGCAAATGAAAATTAGGCATGGAACTAACAACATTTGTAGTACTCTTTTTAGCAAAATATAACTGAGATGCAAAAAGTCAACGAAAAGCGAGGGTTTACAGTATACTAATACTTTGACGAAACATCTGAATCTATCGAAAATAAAAATGAAAAATCAAAACTGTCCCAAAGAACAGCATCCACCTCTTCACTGTTATGGTAGAAGAAAGGGAGCGGAAGAATAATTATTATCAGGAGAAAAGGAAGAATATTAGGTCGCCATATTAAAATTACACTGAAATAGAACTTTCTACTAAATGTCGCAATTAAGGCAGGTTATTAACATATAGTCATCTTTTTAATAATTAACAGGCATTTCAGTGAATTCACGAAAGGAATGGTATACTCTGCAGACTCTAAGGTGACATGCATGGAACGGAAATAATGAATAAAAACTAATGACAACCAACGATGTGTCCAGCATACTCGACGTATGGGTCATCTTGGAAATATTGAGCGCATCGCACTGCAAGCTTTAGCATCCTCGGGAATGAAATGATCAAGAAAATGAATTTAAAATAAAGAAAATTGATAATGCGGTGAATACAGGAAACAACATTAAATTACTTCAACTAAAAAGTGATGGAGTAAAATCAAAGTAGCAATGGCGAGCTGACAATGAAAATGGGATTAACATGTTTCTATAAGAGCATCTTGATGATGCTTTTATTCTGAGTCCTTGCAAGAAAAGAATGATAGAGACTTTGACATAAAAAGCAGTCAACTGAAAGATGAAGGAAAGAAGCATGTTTTCCACAAATTTTTACTTTTCAAATATGGTTCAAGAATGCTCACCTACTTAGAATCCCATGAAATATATATTTTAGAACATAATTCCTTATAGAACTTACTTCAATATTTGCCATTTGTTGTTCAGTGGATACCCGCCTTCTTGAATTCCGGATTGTTGATTTACTGATTGGTGTTTGCAATCCACTTCTGGGTATAGCCACTTTAGAAGTCTGTGCATCTAGCAACTCAGCAATGGCATTAACTACTAAACACAGGGAATCCGAACAGGCCCACAACTGCAATTTTTATAACTATTACGATGACTAATGACGATATCCAATACACAGAAGTTGAATCATAAAACAATAGTTCCAGAGAGCTGAAACTTCACAAAAGAATTGCTGGAGTTGAAATTTAAAAACACCTTCAACAAATCATTTTTGCATCTAACTTCCAGCAATGGAAAACACTTCTTTAGCCTGCCATCAACAGTACTGAAGCCTTTCGCTGCCATCACCTGAAAATTATAAACCTTTTTTTGAAATGGACAACAGAAACAACAATATGCTCAAAGCAGTCGGTACTATTTATGTAAAAAACACAAGAAACTACTGGAAATTCCCGATATTAGCTATTGAATTGATTTGTTTAATCATTCACTATTACATCTTTCGTCGGCTGATTGGAAAGAATATGAAATATAAATTTTCTAATAACGAATTAGGAGGGGAGTCCGAAACTCATCTGGCAGTCTACACCAACTATAAGTTTGATAACTCAATACAAAACATACCTCTAGTTGCAACATACCCACAGACAGTATATGTATGAATTTAGGCTCAAATTTTGTGGACTTGGTTTCATCTTGATTCCCAATGATTTGTAAATGCGGATTGAATGATGCGAAGAGCTTGAGCTGCTCAAATATGCATTCAAATTTATATATTTCTAGATCCTGCATGATTCGACTACTGACGTCGCAAGAACCAAGCACCACTCTGAAAAGTCCGAGATCCCATGAAATAAAAGTGAGATAAACTTCCAACCGCTGCATGCAGTATCGATTTATCTAATTCCATAAAAATACATATGTCTGATTATGCGTTTGTAATTAGACAAGTCAGTTGATGTATACATATATCGGATTACTACGAACCGTAATGATAAAGGAGATGATGGATTCTTGAAATAATGTTCGTAAGCCAACAGGGAGGATGAGAAATGCATATGTAGTTCTGTCGTTATTTGTGGGATTTCGTAACCAGGAATACCGTAATCGACGATATCGAAGAAGCTGATTAATTGATTGATCCAAAACTGCTCAGCATTTGTACACGGTTTCAAATGTAACATTGTATTACGAATACCAACTCCAACCAGCATATTCTGAAGTATTTTGATTGGTTACTTCTGGCATGGAAAAAAACTAGCACGCATCAACACCAAAAATATAGTTGAGAAAAAAAGAAGTAAAATCAAGAATATAGCTATTCCTGGAAAAAAAAAACTTTCGAAACTAAATAGGAAAAAATTTGTTACAACTTTCTGATTCAAACGATGAAGATAAATTAATGGATCACATAATGGATGACCCTGGCTCAGAAAAATCTATAAATGGTTACAGTGACTCGGTTACGGTAACTCTGTCAAATAATAAATGAAAACCTTGAGATTTTCGGGGAAGTGAAAATCAATTCTAACTGCAATGGCGAAATTATCTTCTTCCTCCAGAAAGCAAATTTCTTCATCTACTACCGGTCCTGCTTGGATTCCTTCTTTGAAATGCTGGGCAAAATCCTTCTTCAAAACACACCGTTCATATGGGATTATATCTCCAATAAGATCTAAAGATATCACTTGCACTGGGTATATTTATATATAAAAAAGACCATTGGGAACTATAGCAAAAAATTTCGTGATTGAAGACACACTTACTTTTATGAAAAAAACTGGCAACTTTGGAAGTTGAATAAAAATAAGACAACTCTCTGTTGCCATGAAAACCATTAACTGTCATTATTTGCGTTTTGTGTAGAATTGCACCGATTTGGCCTAGTTTTTTCACAGCTCCATCCTGAAATCCGGAAAAACAAAGATGACACAGTTGGAACAGATACATTAGAAAATGGATTTCCGAAAGATTGTAAAAGCAAACTTCAAATTCAGTTCCTATAAGCACTCGGCCATCATTTATATTTGCCACCAGACAAAAACTATGAGATTTTTCGCTGCCTAATGCATTTACTGTTGGACTCGAACCATGAGAGCAAGAAACATTGCACTCACTGTGAGCAGAATCTATAATTCAAAAAATTTGAAATTAAAATATGAACTAAGACTTATAATATTATGCAATTCATTTTAAAAACGAAACTTGATGTTAATAAAATTCCGCTTACCTCAGCAAGCAAAAAAGAGTTCGTGGAAAGAATGCAAACAAATTTTAAAGAAAAATTACTTTTCCTTTTTGAAGATCTACAGAGTTCGAAGAGTCCGCCACCCGATACTTCCATATCTCTCTGCCGATCAGAACTGTTCAAGATTGGGGAAGACGGTTGCCACATCGACAAATCGTTCATCAACCTTCATGTATCAGAATTTATGCAACAATTCAGACAATAAATAAATTTTAGAATAAATACAAGGACAGAAATTTCGCAAATCATAAAACTTATATCAAAAAGAAACGGTTGAAAATTGGTGCGACAGACTGATGTACCTATTTCATTCCGAAAAACCTGTTCTAATCATAAACTCCTTGAAACCGATGACCCTAACACAGTTAATATCAATCAAAATCAGTGGTTTATTTTGCTAAACTTTAGTAGAAGTGTTCTCAGTTTGTTTCAAGCTCATAGAGTATTGCCTTACAACGCTTCATTACTGCTGTATTTTATGTTACAATGAACCATTCAGGTTGAATATTACAGGAAAAAAACCTATTGTAAATAACTTCATGATAGTGGCGACCAGGGAAGTGAACTCGCACAGTTGGAATAGTTAACTCGCATTTTATTCGTGCATTTGATAGACAATTTTCACCAAATTCTAACATCTCCCTTGTGCTTCCAACCACAATTATCTAAATAACATGAAATGAACATTTCTCTATTATTCGGCGAAAAAAGAAAAGCAAAAACAAAATGAAGGTGGGTAACTACCAGTTAACTACCAACCATTCGGTTTTCATTGCGTATAATACATTTTGAGAATGGTCCCTCCATTTTAACATCTGCCTCGTTTTCAGCATCATAATGCGAGGCACAGGAGTAACCTGTTTCATTACAGCGTGTGGAAGTCGACTCCAAGCTACTGTTTCTATTATCGTAGCTAAGTTTCAAGCTAAAAATTAATTTCATGACAATAAATATCCTTTCAATATATAATAGTTATTAACATATGGTACCATAAAAAATGACAAATTTACCAATTCGATTCAAAAGCAAAAGATCACTCTTACAAAAAAAAATCCTTTTGATATACCTGACACAACCTCCACCACATGTCTCTGAACAACCAGCAAAAAGAAAGAGAGAATCGAGACTCGCCGAGCCAGTATTTTCAACCAAATTGAAGGACCCTAGAATCTATAACTGAAGAGAAAAACCTAACAAACGTTATTCATCGCTGAAAAAGTGAAAAAAAAAACTACGTACTTTCATAGCACCTATGTTAATTTGCGTTAACTTATACAAAACTTCGAGATTACAAAAATTGATCAGACCTTATTTTCCAAGTGATCCAATGCCAGTACCCTTAAAATATTCCCTTATCTCAACAAAAGCATAAAAATACCGTTTACAGCAGAAGCTGAAATAATAGCTGTTCCGTACTGCCTTAAGCGCGATAGATCAAATTTTGGCATTTCTAGTCTGACATCCATCAAGGTCAACCTTACTGACTCTTTATGCAAATTTCTTTTCCAGTGGGGTGCTCGAGTTGGAGAAGATTCAGAACGTCGTAAATCTACTACTGGTATCCTAAAAACAAAGACTACTGTCATTAGCATTAAACCTAAATTTAGAAAACGATAAGAAGTACTGCATTTTTTGTGTTACTGCATGAGCAAATGAAAAAAATCAGACCTCAAATTTATGTCCCATTCTGGACAGCCAATAGTAAATGCTAGTGATGATGGTGTGTTGTTTACATCTTGCATAGCGGTAAAGAGCAAATCTGTTCTGAAAAATCACTAACCGTAATATGAGTAAAAAGAAATATTTATCGAAAAATCCAACGCACGTCATAATCGCACAAAATTTACTTCAAGCCTCGTGATACGTCGTTAACGTTATGAATCGATGAAGGAAATGGATAAGTGTGAAAAGGTTTCGTGACCAAAAGAGAAGATATTCGATCAATTATCGAAATGTCTAATTCACTTTCACAAGTTGTCACGTTTACCGTCACATCATAATGCTGAAATTGTAGCATGACAAAGAATAATGTTTGAGCTCCGAATTTCCAGAGAAAACATATCTGTATTTTATACGAAGTTTTGAACGAAGTAATTTAACTAAAAAGTAAGAAATCAGTATCCCTTTATGATCCAGACCTGTGAATTTTTGCCATTTTCTACGGTAACCATTAATCGACGGCTTTTTTCAGTTGTTGATGCATAATCGCAAAATGAAAAGAGTTTGATATTTTCTTCGGTGTCCTTAAAAACGAAACTTTTGCAAAAAAGACCTGATGTGTTTGCAAATACTGTTTCGAACAAAGTTATGGAACAAATAATACCGTGCTCGACGAGGTCGGCGACAAAATTTCTAATAATTCCACATCAAGCGCTTCTAAATTCATTGAAAAACAGTAGTTTTCCCGACTTTTTACTTGATTGTAATCAAACGTGACTCCTTCACCAATGAATCTAAAAATGCATGGAACTGTATAAAATGTGTAAAAGAACTACATAACATTATAGGAATTAGAAGAGAATTACTGTAGGTGGTCATCTCCATATAAATGTTTCGTATTCAGATTTAATTCATGTAACTGAACTCCAAATCGCAGAGAAGACGCTGCCTTAAAGAACCCTTCTGCCAATTCCTTGTATGAACTGATAATATCAGCCACGTTTTCGATGCCTCTAAAATCAGCGGATAATTGAACACGAATTCACCAATAAAATTTCTCGTTATGCAAAATCATATGGAAAAAACGACCCAAAATTTAGCATCAAATAACTCAGAAATTAATAGCAAACCTGTTCCGAACTTCATCTTGTCCAAGATAATCTTTATGGGTGAGGACAAAGACAACATTGCAAATGCTTGCTTTAACACTAATCACATCAGATACAGTGTCCGAATTTCTCAAAGTTTCTGCAATAAGAAATATTGCATTTCTTGAAATCAGCACTAGTTTACAGACATATTTTACCAAACATTCTTTGCTATTCTTCTGTGGCATTTTTAATATAAAAACCAACTCTGCGAACAGTTGCTTCTTAAATTTTCCTTTGGAAATCTGTCGACTCGACCATCTCCTATATCACTGAGATTCAAGGAAACATTAGCCATTTGTTCTTCAATCGATGCTACTGAAGGTTTTCTCTGTGCATCATAAAACATCATTGAACCACCCCAGTTGCCTGAACATCATAATGATTTCTGAGTTCTACTTGAAAAAAAGTGCAGTGACTGGCATACTAGCAAATTAAAAAGAAAGTGTATGCAGACTAGACCGCAGTTATCGCTTTTAAAATCAAAGTCTTCCAGAGAGAGAGAGAGAGAAAACCAAATCAATAGTTATACTCAAGAAAGATTATCAGTAGTAACGTTTACCATGCTGGAAGTCTGTATTCATTTGGTTCGACGGTACAATTCTTGTCTGCAACTCGGCTTCAACCTGCTGATAATCTTGCATACACATTGGTTTCCCTAAAGTGCACTGTCCACCATCTAAAACAAGATCCGATAAACTTTCGAAGATACAAAATCATCGAAAAAAAGAAGTAGAAGGCTTGTCAAGTTGTTTAAACAAACCAGAGTTTGAAGGAGGCTTTGCAATTGCAGCAAAAAATGTTTTCAAAATGGTCAATTGCGAAGGCGTCAAAAATATACAGAGACCATCAAAGTTAAGGCTAATTTCCTGGAAAAATAATAATGAGTCAGTGTTAGCAAAGCAAAAATGAAATCGAGATAAATTTAGAATATCAATAGGAAAACAAAAAAAAAAGAAATCAACCTTTTCAGAAGACAAAGTGTATTGTGATGAGATCTCGTTGTTACGTACTCGAACAATAACAGTTTCAACGCTACCACTAAATGATGCAAACATAACTGGATTCGACTCCAATCTGCAATTCCAATTCTTCCATATATTCGAAATATATATATAAAAATCAAAATGCAACGAATGAGCAAAACATACATAGTGCTACTGGAAGAATCTAACGGTGAAGAAGTGGCAGAAGGAAATTCATCTTCCATATAACTGTTACGAGAATAACATGATTCATAAATTGTTGAAGTTGCCGATATCTGTACGGAACATAACATACTGCCGCCTTTTTCACAGTGTTCATCTGATGAATCCGAAGAAGCTGACAGTTTCTGAACCAAATGTAATTTGTAAGCCTTGGAGATTAAAAGGGAAAGTCTATTTTCTGAAATACTTCGTTTAGCACGCAAATGAAACCAATGAAAGCAAAATCATTAAACAAAGCGTAAATATACCGACCTTCATTGTTTTCTCTTTTTCACGTCGGAGATACATGCTTGTTATGACTTGTGTTGATGCAGACATATTTTCTTCTGATAAATCTCTCATCTCTGGCCTAAATGGAAAAAAATAAAAACTTGCAACAATATACTGCCTATAAGATGCGCAAATGGACCCTTCACCCACACATTTTTTGCGCCAAAGTATGCACACTCATATAACTCACCTAGTAAAAATATCGGTATAAAGACGTATGCCTTTTACATGGAAAAGTTTATTGAAATCTGGAACAGCCGATAACGAACGTGGTTGTGAAGTAACCGTTTCAGCGCTGAAAGCTTCCGACTCTAACTGTTCGTCAATGAGTTCAATCCTGCATAAAATATCGAGGTGCAATGGTTCGTCTTTCGGGTAAATTTGATTTGCAAAAAAAAAAAGAACTACCCATGGATAACGCAGTTCCAACGATGAAAGGCTAAGGACTTAAAAAGAATCTTGCAAAAGTCTTTGCAAAAAATTCCTCGTTTTCATCAACTGGAAATAATGCTTGATGATAACATACCAATCAATTCGCAGTTCCAAAGCAGTGCATAACCAGATTCTGGATCGGGAATACCTTCCAAGCGAATAATAGCATCGTTGAAAATTAACCGAAACGAGAGATGACAGCATCAATGACCTAAATTCATGCACACTGATATGACCAGATTGAGAAACGTAATCTACGAAGCTCACATGAAGAAAACTGTT